GGGATTTATTAGTAGATCGCCGGAAAACAAAAATTCTACATCACCGACACTAGCTAGCCAGAATTGCAGCGTGCATGCACGCACAATTTAGTTAGTGAAATGGTGTCTGGTTTTATTAGTTTATGAATGAATAGGGTTTGTGTGTGGACATGTGGGCCGGGTGAGCTGAGCTCAACCGAACTGACATCCATGATTGCTTGCTTCCATAACTAGCCGCAAGGACGACTCTCAAAAGCAAGCGATCCAAGAGAAAACGTGTGACAATGCAGTATTATCTACAAATACAAGACAATCATATCTGGTTCAATAATAATCCCGTGGTTACCAAGACTTACGCAAGTTCTACGTAACCTTCTCACAATAACCCCCCCGCGGAATTTAACTGGGGTGGGCCGTCCTTCTACCTCACCCCAATCATAACTTGCCATCCGGATAATCACGTAAAAATTACGTTAACTCCTTTGTAGGTATAGCATTGCTCCATCTGGATGTAGCATAATCGTTAATTATTTATTGAAATTTCTCGAGCAAGTACTTTTTTATATGGTCACACATTTTCAGTGGCATGACAATCGACACGCTCGGCATCTTTAAACATGTCCCATGTCCCATGGCCTATAGCCCCTTCAATTATACATTTGTATAGGGCATAAGATATAGCGAGCCCAATCATTTAAGGCGGTGACCTCCGCAATTACTCTAGAGGATTTTTCTCGCGCTTAGAAGTTACTATACCCATGGGCCAAGGCTTGTCTCGGATTTGATGTCTATTCGTAGCGAGCCACTTTAGCAAAACCATCTTGGATAGATGCCTTCCGAGGCGCTTTCCATATCACGCTAGACTCGGAATTGTGAACTTCTGCGACAGAATCTCCTCACTGGTAAACAAGATGTTTTACAAACACAGTGCTAAACGACATGATATGTACATCATAAGAATTAGTAGGTAAACATGCCAATTTAATTTGTATTCATTCAACACTGGACATAACCCATCATGCGTATTTTGAGATGGATGTGTGGCCACACGAGGAAGGATCAAGTCCCGAATGATGATATACGAGATCAAGTTGGGGTAGCTCCAATTGAAGAGAAGCTTGTTCAACATCGTCTGAGATGGTTTGGGCATATTCAGCGAGGCCCTCCAGAAGCTCCGGTGCATAGCGGAGGGCTAAAGCGTGCGAAGAATGTCAAGAGAGGTCGGGGTAGACCGAATTTGACATGGAAGGAGTCTGTAAAGAGAGACCTTAAGGATTGGAGTATCACTAAAGAACTAGCTATGGACAGGGTTGTGTGAAAGCTTGCTATCCATGTGCCCGAACTATGAGTTGGTCGCGAGATCTTATGGGTTTCACCTCTAGCCTACTCCGACTTGTTTGGGACTAAAGACTTTGTTATTGTTGTTGTTGTTGTTCAACAATGGACATAACTCATCAAACGTAGAAGTAGCAACTAAAATAATATTGACTTTACTGATTAAAGATAGGCAAATAGCAACACAACAACTCAATTCATTGGGTCTAACAGAAATGTTTATTTGGCAAGTTTAATCATTAAACTTATTTGGCGAGATTAATCTCACCAAATAGCAACAAAAGGCTTAGCAAGTTTATCCATAACAAGTTTACGTACTTAGTAGGTCTAATTAGTAAATTGGCGAGGTAGCGAGGAGGTGTTGCGCAATGTGCTGCATGCCCCTGGTCCCAACCCAATCCAACACAACCCCCAATATCACAGGTCACACAACCCTTCTTTGGAGTTTGGGGTTGCAACGCATGGTCCTTCACCATCACCATAACCATCATAGCCCCACCGTGGCCTGCTACCTACAACGCCATTTTCATCTCCATATACTCCACTTGCTACTGTTGGGCAACTAGTACAAGAGAAAATATCTGACAAATTATTTAGACAATCACATATGGACATAGAAATAGCCAACCATATCTGCAATAAATAAATAAATAGCATGGTCCATCACAGCCACTAGAGGCCCACCGTGGCGTGGTACGTATGTACGTACCACACCGTTTTCATCTCATCTCCATACACTAGCGAGTGTTGGACAGCTAGTACGGTACAGGAGCGAGTGATTAATTGTACACCTGCGCGCACACGGTACCACACATTCTCAAACCACCAAATTAGCTCTATATATATGTATACACACATTCAATTCTCTGTTTATATATACATATATGGAGAGCTAATTTTCCAGAAATAATAGTCACCAAAATACACGTATTGCCCTTTTTTTGGAATTCTAGTGAAATTTCGTCACTAGAAAAAATGCATATTGCCGACACTATACAATTAATTGCAGTGCATATAGTTCTAGTAAAATGTTCCTCGATCGGTTTGAAGTTTGAAGCTAGGTTGTACATATTATGCGGACCTGTGGGGTGAGGTGAATTGATGTCGATGATTGGTTGGCATAGCTACGGAGACTTTGAAAAGTAAGCAAGGCTATAGCACGTGCATTCTGAGGCGCTTTTCCGCATCATGCATGACTCAGGAATAATGCACTTTTGCACGAGGTCTCTTCGCCGGCACCCAAGATGCTTTACAAACATAATGTTCAAGCAACATGATACATCTCAAATTATATGTGCCAATACGCGGTGGGACTCGGTAGCAAACATTTCTTGGATAGATGCATTCCAGGGCACTTTCCACGTCACGCATGCTCAGGAATAGATATATAATTTTATTACATATAATATATATTTAGCTAGTTAAATTGACGGTCTAGAACTACGTGCATGTTCTATGCACCGACACGAAGGAAGTAGCAAGTTTATCCATAACAAGTTTACTTATTAAGTTTAATTAGCAAATTTTTTTGGCAGGGTACCGAGGAAATAGTGTGCAACGTGTTGCAAGCCCCGGCCCCGGTCCCAACCCAAGCCAACCCTCCAATATTACAGGTCACACAACCCTCCTTTGGTGTTTGGGATAACATGCAACGCATGGTCTTTCACCCCCACCATAACCATCACAGCCCCACCGTGGCGTGGTACGTACAAGGCCATTTTCATCTCCATACACTAGCTAGTGTTGGACAGCTAGTACAAGAGTGAGTGATTATACACCTGCACCGTTGGATGCAGTTGTACGTATGTGAAGAGTACACACATTTAATTCACTGCTTAGATAAAGATATCCATGGTACTAAAAGACGATATAGATATAGCGTTTCCATGAGTTTTAGTCACAAAAAATTGCATATTGTCGCCACTTAATTGCGGTGTGTATGTACAATTTTAGTAAGATGTTACTCCAGTTTA